GGCTGCAGCGCCCCCGAAGGTGGCCGACGAAGCTGCCGCGCCCCCGGTGGTGGCCGAAGAGGTTGCAGCGCCCCCAGAGGCGGCTGATGAAGCTGCAGCTCTCCCGGTGGTGGCCGAAAAGGTTGCAGTGCCCCCGGAGGCGGCAGACGAAGCTGCAGTGCCACCCTCTCGGAAACGGAGGAGGAAGAATGGGTCCGCCTCGTCACCCCTAGAGGTGGCTGATGAGGCTGCAGCGCTTCCAGCGGCGGCCGATGAGGCTGTAGTGCCCCCGGTGGTGGCCGAAGAGGTTGCAGCGCCCCCGGAGGCGGCACGCCCTGTCGGCTCCACTTAAGTTCCGCTCTCTGTCAGCTGTACCCCAGCTGCTTGCCCTGCCGGCTCCCTCCTTGAGGCAGGCTCCGCTCTTGCTGCCGGCCAAGCTGCCGGCCCGGCCCTGGCCTCCTGCCCGGCCGGTCCCACCGTGGCGCCCTGGTTTACCTCTATCCCCAGGGCCTCTTCCACTACACGGGCCTGGCCCACCATCCCTCCCCCTGATCCACCTCCGTTCCACCTCCCTCCGGGATTTCTCTTGGTGGAGCGTCTGGAATCTGCTCCTTAAGGGGGGGGTTCTGGCACAGTCTTCAGCGGGTGTGCCCAGGACGGCCACCAGATGACACTGTTCTCGGTGAGCACATGGCTTGTGTTGTGTTTGTTTTGTGCCATGTGCTCTCTCCTGTCTATTGTCTTGCCCCTCCCATCTTGTTACCTCGTTATAGTTTAAGTTGCTCCACCTGTGTCTCCCTCGTTGGCTTTCCCATTTATTCTCCTGGTGTATGTAATCCTGTGCTGATCTGTTGTTTTTTCATTGTGTGTGTTATGTCTGCATGTAGTGCAGTTTCGAGCCTGCCTGTCTGTTTTTCCCCTTCGGGGTGGTTTGAGTTTGTTTTTGTTTCATTTTATTATTAAAGAGAACCATTCCTCCTGCACTTGAGTCCTCGCTTCCTCTATCCACACACACCGTGACAGCGTAATGCTTTAAAGACGTACACTTATGCATACTTCAATGCATTAACTATCATATTTCAACTTTAATTATGAATTTAAATTTAAACTAGTATCATTTATTTGCAGTTTACATGCAGTTAAGCGTCTGTAAATACTACATTCAGTTTATACTTAAGTATGCTGAAGTGTACTTCTTTTCACAAGGTACTGGTGTCAATTTTCATAGAAGTGTCAACAGTTAGAAAAAGGAGAGCTCTAGATGGGTTCTTAGTCACTTTTGAAATGGTAAAGCATGTGCAAAATTTGTCTAGTATGAAGCATAATATAAAAGAGAATTCAAAATAGTATATTAATCCAATTACCAGCAATGATGACACATGCTGTTTTAACCCTAAATCAAGCCAATCCCATCCCAAGGCAACACACCGCAGTTATCTGACACTTCTAAGTATTTCCCAAGGCCTTTGAAACCCACGACTATGACAGAATCCACAGCAATCCTCAAACAGTTTAGTTCACGCTTCTCCCACACAGTGAGGCTAAGGCGTCCTACAGAAAGTAGTGCCATGTGGAGGATACTTGATAAACACGTTCTTCTTTTTACTTGATGAAACACATTCTACGCAACAACGACAGAGAAAGTGAGAGATCGATTTCAGTCGAGCCACTCATGTGGACCACATCTCTCATGAGATCAAAGTCCTGAGGTTGTCAGCAGCATTTTGGCAGGTCTAATCCTTTAAGACCAGTGGCTACAGGCGATCAGTAATGGAGCGCACACAGAACCCTGCGCTGTAGTCAAACGTGGCCTCGATTGATTGCTTTAGCCTGACTAAGCCACAAACAGGATATGACTGTTCACATCCCATAATCCTCCCTGCTCATGCTGGCTCACATTGACTGCTCTCTGCAGACGCAGTAATGGAAAGCAGCTGGAATATGTTGCACTTTGCCAAAAAAAAAAAAGGTTTCTTTTCAATGTTTGATTGTTGGATGCCAAAATTAAGGCTTAGTATTCAAATACTCTTATGGAGGATTGTTTATAATGTGGAGCTTTTCTATGTCAAAAATAATTAGAGCAGGAGTAAAGGGATAGTTCACCTTGAAGACTTTTTGAAAAATGTCTCATACAGTCAATGCCAAATAGGTCCAGTTTTGTTTTAGACCCCAGTGATTTTCACCGTGATCACAGTTGAAAACAGCTTCTTGAGAAAGAAAGAAAAATCTACCAAAACCACTGTAGACATTAATGGGTATATGTTCTTATTCAGAAAGTAGTCAACATGGGTTTTTCATTGATTCTACTTCTACATTTGGTATCCTGATTCTTTGGTCACATCATTGAACTTGCCTTGTTTCCTGTCCAACTAAACCAATTACTATTTGGAAATTTTATTTAAAACACAATCACTTTTCAGTAATATCTTAATAGCTGTTTTCTTTTTATTTGTTTATTTTGTGGCATTGTCTTGTCTAGTATGAAATGGCACTTTATATATAACTAAGTGGAAATTAAACTTCCAGTCCACCGCAGCTCTGTAGGAATCACAGCAATTCATATAAAATGACCAATGTATTTCTGATAAAATTGCATTAATGCAAAAAAATAAAAAAATAAACACACACATACACACACACTTGTCTACACTCTTAAAAATAAAGGTGTTTCACGATGCCATAGAAGAACCTTTTTTGTCTAAATGGTTGCATAAAGAACCTTTAACATCTGAAGAACCTTTCTGTTTCACAAAAGGTTCTTTGTGGCGAAAGAATGTTCTTCAGATTATAAAAAGGTAAGAAAGAGATGGTTCTTTGTGGAACCAAAATGGTTCTTCTATGGCATCGCTGTGAAGAACCTTTTTAAGCACCTTTTTTTAAAGAGTGTCTATTAACTCTTTCCCTGCCATTGATAGAATTTTCCGGCTTTCCGTGTTTTCACTGTTATGTGAGATGCACTATTACACATATTCTAAAAGAGTATTGCATCTCTGGATCAAAGAATGGTGAAGAAGAAGCAGAAACAAGCAAGCAGATGCATATGTAGAATAATATCAAAGTGTTGATAAAAAATTATAAAAAAAAATTTTAAGCAGAGGCTCTGTTCTTTCTTAATGGATGTTCGGATATTCATACAGCCATGAAAATGTTGTGAAAATTATAAAAAATGCTGGTGGGCACTGGCAACTTTTTTTTAAAGGCTGGCAAGGAAAGAGTTAAAAAATGTAATAATAAAGTTATTTATATATATAAAAAAATTAATTAAGTCACCCGCAGAGAATACTCTGAAGTTTTCGGTTTCAATGAAGTGGCTTATGAAGGGCTCCATATTTATGAAGCTATTAAATGAATTAATTGTAAGTTTATGACATTGCAGCAGAGTTGTGATTCATAGTCTAATATTGTTTTGCAGTAATCCTGCAATTTTTCTCCATTAGTCACCGTATTTCCCCTTTGATTGATCAACAATCAGACAACTTTCCAATTACACATTAGCATTTCAGTTACAGATATCAAGTTTCCAACTCATTGCTTAAACAAAGTGATGGGCTATGTCAGAAAGAATGATTCCCTGTGTAAAAATTCTGATATATGGCCACAGAGATCAGCTAGAAAAACACAATCCATCAGCCGTGTCTGAAAAACACACAGCTTTAAGAGTTTGAGTGAGCTGTTACATTCTGAGGATGTTATTTGATGATGCTGGAATTTTTCCATTACTAGCAGGAGGTTGCATTGAGGGCCATTAGAGGCATTTATCGCTTCTAAATATTCAAGTCAGCAAGAAAACCTGACAGCACATAGCAAATATATAGATTAGCTTGCTAAAACAATGTAGGTTTTCTGAGGGTTTTAGAAGCAGTCACTGTGGAGTACAAAAAAAGTGTATTTTATAATTAAGTTCATTATATATATACAGTGGGTACGGAAAGTATTCAGACCCCCTTAAATTTTTCACTCTTCAACACAGTGGCAAATATCATGCAGTCTCATTTCTAATTTTAGTCAGTTTATTAATTGAACTTGAACCCCAGACCTGTTGCATGCTAATTAAACACTCTACCTAACATGTCACAATGATTAATTAAATGATTCATTAAACAGTTTTTTTTTCTTTGGTCATGTCTTACCTTTAAGGAAAAACATTTCACCATATGCTAGTAATTATACATACTTTTCCATCAGTAAATTGCTGACGGTGTGAAAAATAAACTCAAAACGTAATCAGGGGTGAGTGTGGAGAGTTTCATTAACTGAGGCCTTTAACATTACAGTAATTAAATATATGTGCAATGATCTGGCATATTTAAAAGTGATTAGTGATTTTAAACTGAGCAATTAAATGGCAATTAAACCCTCCTCCCATATCTTTCCCCAGTCACTATTTTTTTCTCATCATTGACCGACTTGATTTTAGTTGATTCCCTATTATCTAATGTTAACCCTGTGAAGCCTGACATATGAAATAATAGAAAAATCAATGAAACCTTTATATAAACTTTGTATTACACAAAATGCATGTAAGTATTATTTGTCACTTTATATTTACCAATAATATTACCTTAATATATTTAAATGTTCAGTTTTATGTTGCTATATATATACTAGCTGGACAACAGAAAGCATGTAGTAGATTGTGTTCAACAAGTTTTGATCATGTTGATAATTTAGAGACCTTAGAAATGTGCCTATCCAATATAATAAGCTAGGCATTATAGGGTTAAGTGTTGTTTATATTTTGTAATTTTAAAGGCCTTTAATATGTTGATCTGTTATTTGATCTTTGTCTTTCAGAAATGGATTCGCTGCGCATACTGCTATACTCTCTCATATTCCTACTGAGTGTGTTTGGTAACCTGCTCATCATTGTGGTTTTGGTGGTGAATAAGCGAATGCGGACGGTGACCAACTCATTCCTGCTCTCCCTGGCCATTAGTGATCTCATGATGGCTGTTTTCTGTATGCCCTTCACTCTTATTCCCAACCTGCTGGAGGATTTCATCTTTGGAGCTGCCATGTGCAAGATTGTGGCCTATCTTATGGGTAAGATGGACTTTCATTTCTTCATTTCTAACATGAGGCATGTTACCAATGTACCTGCTAAATCACAAAGAAAAGTACAACTTTGCACTGAATATCCTGCTGGCATATGGCACCCAGGGAGAGTCTGTTTACTGATCGTCTTCACAAACACTGGTAAAAATCACAGGCTTTAATTGCTGTTGCCTAGATCTGCAGAACTTTACGTGGCTTCAAATCTTTGAAAGATATTAAAGTTGCAATAGGTGTTTGTCATTTTTTGTTATGCTGGTTGAAAGTCTCTTCACATCCTGATAGCAATCATTAAGTTAAATGGTCTAAATGTATTTATCACTTCTTTTAATTTAGTCTGTAAAGGCACAGTCAGCAAAAGTAATTCTTTTCTGTGTAAATACATATCCTTTGAGTTTTTAAAGATGTTTCAATGCTTCTTCTTTCTATTATGGCAGCAGTAATTCATCATATGATGATCTAATGATGGAGAAAAGCAATACAATGCATGTAGTACAATGCACGGTGAAGTAAGGAGCACTTTTAAGAGATGATTCCAGTGTCTGGATCTCGGTGATGGGCCGATGCTGTCTAGACCCAGGGATGAAGAATTATTGCTTGAATTATTATTTTAGACATTTAGACAGGTTTTTCCACTACAAAAAAAAATAAAAAATGAGTGGGGAAAAATAACCATGAAATTTCCATGCAAACGGAGTAAGCCCAATAAAATGAGATGTATTAAAGTAAATCTTTAGGGAAAAAAAAAAATCCATTGCAATTTACTAGATAGCCACAGTACACAATAATATGCTATATGTAATTTTTTTAACTACTTATAAAGCACAATGCTGGAATGAAGTACAAGAAAAAAAGCTGCCCTTTTGTAGAACTTCTTATAGTTAAACTGAACTTGTTTTAAATGGATGAACTTCACACTGTTATTGATCTGAACTGAACCAAACACCGAACCAAACACTGAACTGACTTGAGCTCAATAATGACACTATTGTCTTTTAGAGCTGCTCTACAGTGGAATCTGAACTGATTCCAACTGATTCTGTTATTTACCACTGTGATCCCCACACATGGCATGCGTGAAAAAAAATAAAAAAAATAAACGAAATAAGAACTCATTCCCAAGACTAGTTAATTCATGGCCATGCCATACTAATTTGCTCTCTTGTTTTGATTTAACTAAAATGAGGGAACTAATTAGTAAATAATGGCCACAAATAAATAAGTCGTGGGAGTGAATTCTTAATTCATGGCCATGATGTCATGTGCAGGGCTCCATATTGTATAAAACACTATAGAAATAAAGTTGACTTGAAGGGTTAGTTCACCCAAAAATGAAAGTTCTGTCGTTAATTACTCACCCTCATGTCGTTTCAAACTCGTAAGACCTTCGTTCATCTTCGGAACACAAATTAAGATATTTTTTAATGGAATCTTGAGAGCTGTCTGACCAAGCATAGACAGCAATACAAGATAAATTGTAAAATTACGGTTGAACCACTGATGTCATATGGACTATTTTACAGATCTCCTTGCTACGTCTCTGGACTTGGGAACATTTCAGTTGTATTGCTGTCTATGCAGGGCCAGACAGCTCTCAGATTCCATCAAAAATATCTTAATTTGTGTTCCAAAGATGAACGAAGGTCTTACGGGTTTGAAACGACATGAGGGTAATTAATGACAGAATTTTCATTTTTGGGTGAACCATCCCTTTAACTTGTTTAGATAAATTGCACAAGCAGAAAAAAAAACAGGTTAACAATAGTTAATGTAATCTATATTTTGAAACATTAAAAAAAAAAAAAAAAATTCATAATTAATATTCATGCACCAAGCCTTCATGAACCATATCACAGTTTGCTGCTCTGCTCTGCTCTGCACTGTATTTTTTTGTTTTATTTTTCACATGATTTATTATTGTAGTATCATGTACTTAATGTTTTGGCTCCTAAACAACACATACTGTACTGTTAAAAAAAACACAAATAAGCTGCAATATGAGTCAGACTATAAAACACAACTCAAAATGACTTGGTGAGACTACTGTTCATTTGTAATACGGTTACCAGGATGTCAGATTTTGGCACTGACCCTCGCTTTGAGAAATTGGCCACTGATGTAGACATATGTATGAATGCATCCAGCTTGATCTGCACTGTTTCATGGATCACTACCTCCCTAAATGAAAGTCAAGGCTCATCCAGCAACAGCCAGTACAATGCCAAGGTCAGATCTGACACACAAGGGCTGCTGGCAAATGATTTGAAGGGGCAAAAAAAAAATCAAAAGACAATTCTGTCGTGGGCAGCAGTGGACCATATTGCTATGCATTTGCATAAAAGTCACAGGCACAAGGAACGATTCAGGTGTGGTGACCTGAAAACAATTACACTGTCATGTTTTTTTTTTTTTTTACTGGTATTCACGGGTGATCAGATAGCATTTCTAAAGGATGTTTTTCTCCTGCATTATGTTGACTGTCTGGTGGAGGCCCTGGAGATGACACGGTTCACAAGAGAGCAGATCTTATTTGCTTGAGTGTGTGTGAGTGGCCTGCAGCCCACACAGTGTCGGAGTGCGACAGGGCAGCACATCCAACACGCTGTGCCAACCACAACCTCCCTCCCACTGTTTGTTTTTCGAGGGGGCGGGAATTTGTAAAGCAAAGAACAATTTCCTTGGTACGAGCTCTGGTGCGGAGGGCGAGATCAGATCAAATCTCTCGGGCCATCGGGCCAGTAATTCCTCAAACATGAGGGGCTGTCGGAAATCTCGCTTTACAACTCTCGCCAACAAGAATGCCATTCTGCTATGTTTTTCACTAAGCTTTGTATTTTTAGAAGAACGTATTAAGGATTTTGTCGCTTTCAGTTTTGCAAAGCATCAAGCTTTTGGGGAAATAAATACAGATTTGCAGTGAATACGTATAGCGATAGGAGCAACTGAATCAGAAAACTTTGGTGGATAAACCGTTTAGACAAGATCTTGACTCTTGGCTCTTGACTCAATGCCAATTTCTTTATAAAAAAACTGAAGAAAAAAAAAAACTAAAATTGATGGTAAAAATAGCATGTATAAAAAATATGATAGCTACATTTTATTATGGATTTAAGTTACAGTACATTTACAGTAAAAAAGGTAATTACTAATATATGGGATATATAGACAAAAAACCTGACACTAAAATAATGCAATAAACATCAACATAAAACCCTAATCTACATGGTAACTAATAAATACTAATAAAAATTAACAAACAGTTATTTCAATGAAAAACCATCAAATATGAGCTGTTAAACAGTGAATTCTGGGAATGCCAATTTAGGGTTTTCACTGTAAATTACAAGAAGACATTTCACTTCCAAAAACTATGCATTCAACAGTATTTTACTGTAAAATTGTACATTGCAAAATTACTGTAAACTGTGAAATGTCTTGTTAGATTTATTACAGTTTTTCACCATATATAGTAAGGTAACTTACTAACCAAGTAGTCAACAGGTTCTTACTATAGCATTTTTACAGTCTTTTACGGTTAAAATTACGTTGTTTTTTTTGTGTGTGTAATTCTTTTGCTTTTTTACAGGCATCTCCGTCTGTATATCTACCTTCAGTCTGGTGGCTATAGCCATTGAGAGGTACAGTGCCATTTGCAACCCGCTGAAGTCCCGGGCATGGCAGACACGATCCCATGCCTACAAAGTCATTGCTTCTACCTGGGTCCTGTCCTTCCTCATTATGACACCCTATCCCATCTTCAGCACGCTGGTGAAGTTCACCAAGCTCAACAACATTACAGCTCACATGTGCCGCCATGACTGGCAAAAGAGTGAGGTGGAGCAAGCCTGGTGAGTGTTCAAGTATTTGTGAGTGCTCATCTGCCTTTATTTTATAGGACAGTTAAGTGGAAAAAGGACATGAACTTGGTCAGACTCAAGTCTGGTTCGTCCAGAGCCAGCAGTGCGTATACATGTCCTGAGCACATGCACAAACCACTACACTACAGCTTGGACAGTTTACATCAATATGTGTCAGGCTGGGCTGGAATGCACAAACAAGCAATTTTTCCTCAAAAATATTAAGCAGCACCATTGTTTTCAACATATGAAATGATTCTTGAGCAGCAAATCAGCATATTAGAATGATTTCTGAAGGATCATGTGACCCTGAAGACTGGAGAAATAATGCTGAATGTACAAAATGTAGCTTTGTAAATAAATAAATAAAAAGTTATTTTAATATTGTAATAATATTTCACAATACTACTGTTTTTACTGTACTTTTTATCAGATACATAAACAATCTTTTAAACAGGGTATATTAAAAGAACATTTTTGTTTTTAAAGTTTCCAGAATGCCTCATAGACTTCTACTGGAAGTGCATACCTGTTTATTTGTATACTAACATACTTAAACTGATTGTCTGGTAATGCCACAGCAATGCTGTCCTTAGAGCTTAAGTTGTTTTGTACTCTGGAAATTCCTTTAATTGGAAAAGCATCCTGTTATTACTCGTACGGTAACATCATTGACTGTCTGCGTTTGTCTCAACTTGAGAGGCAAAGACAGAGACACAGAGACAGAGTCACTCTGCAGTGCTCTGATAAGGAGCTGGGGTCTTAAACATCAGCTGGGTGCCTCCTGCGGCACATTATGTTTTATGACAGTTGTTGCTAGGTAGACAGCAAGGGACCACAACCGTACTCTCTCTGCATGTTCCTCTGAGTTTGCTTGTACATTTTTCTAATTCTTTCTGCATATTCTGTTACAGTAATAAGCCACAAGAGGCTGGGCATTAAAGGGGTTTTATTTCAGGGAAGAGGTGTTGTTGGGCACATCACGAATATGTTCCCTTCAAGCTATGCCAATGCATGACTACACACTTCTGAGGATAATTATTGATATTTAAATTAATTCAGAATTATAATCAGAATAAATAACTCTTTTGTAGAATAAACAATGTTTTGGATAATCTAGGTGAAACAGTTTTAGTTGAATCAGGCCATGAGTGGCTACCCTTGGATAAATAGCCTATATGAGTGAATGGTTGTATTTATATTTTAAAGGAATAGTTCAGCCAAAAATTTAAATATGCTTAATATGTACTCACCCTCAGGCCATCTAAGATGTAGATGAGTTTGTTTCCTCATCATAACAGATTTGGAGAAATTTAGCATTACATCACTTGCTCACCAATGGATCCTCTGCAGTGAATGGGTGCCGTCAGAATGAGAGCCCAAACAGCTGATAAAAACATTACAGTAATCCACAAGTAATCCACACAACTCCAGTCCATCAGTTAATGTCCTGTTAAGTGAAAAGCTGGACTCTCATTCTGACGGCACCCATTCACTGCAGAGGATCCATTGGTGAGCAATGCTAATGTAATGCTAAAAATCTTTTCTGATGAAGAAACAAATTCATCTACATCTTGGATGGCCTGAGGGTGACTGAATTTTCACTTTTAGGTAAACTATTCCTCAAAATGGAGTTTCAAACCATTTTCATGTTGTTTTAGGTGCATCCTGTTGCTATTTGTTCTGTTCTTCATTCCTGGAGTGGTGATGATCATTGCTTATGGGCTCATTTCTCGAGAACTCTACCGTGGAATACAGTTTGAATTGGAGCAGAAGAAGGGACAGAGTGGTGAGACATTTTTGAAGTCAATAACACAATACATGCAGTCTAATTAAGTCATGTTTTAGTAAGCCTCAGACCATCCCATAGGGTATTAACTGTGATCGTATTTGATGACCTACTCCGAGGATTTAATTGTTTGTGTGTACAGTCATGGCCATCTGTTTTTGAATGAGGCTCAATTTCCTAAGTAATGAAATGTGACCTATTGGATTTTCGAAAATATAATTGCAGCTGTACAACATTTCCACAACTGCCCCTAAAAAAGCAAGAAGGAAAAAGCAGGAAAAATAAACTTGAATATTACCCTTATATTGCTCATTGATGGAGCTCTTACAAGTTAATATATGCTGGATTGCTTTGATTATGTCTCATCTTGAATTACACTGATCTACGCTAAATCACATTTTATTAATTTTATATGTCTCCATTTCCCCTGGGCTCCAGTGATCAAGCATTTAAACTCTTCAGTGCTGAGTCACCACTCTACCCATTAAGATGTTTTCCTTTGAATTAGCGAAATGTCATTTCCTTTCCCATTTTATTGGTAAAAAATTGTGCAAAAGAAGGAAGCTCAAGAATGTCAAAATACAACCTGCTGTGGGGTCTTATGAAGGTTATTGTTTAGTGAAAGACACAAGGGTTGGGAATCAGAAAGAATGAAATGATTCAGATTGCACTTTATGATTCCAGCTCCTTACTGATTCATTTCATTAATAGAATCTTTAAAGAATTAGAATACTCCCTTTTTCATAGAGTATTACATATACAAAAAATTCTAAACTATTTTCCAAATGTTTAACTGTTGCTTAGATCAGTATGTTTATTTAAGTCTCATGAGCCTTAATTATACACACTACAGAAACAATTATTGAATTATTTCCAATAGGATATGATGGAAGTAATGATTCAGCCAAGAACTGTTCTGACTGATTCAGTAAGTGAATGAGTCATTAAAGCAATTCAAACTCATAACTGAGTTTTAGGTTGTGAGTTGTGAGTCATTTTGACTAATTTATTAAAATGAACCTGATTGTAAGAGTAATTTGATTGCGACTGATTTGATTTATTATTACAGGGTTTGAAAATTGGTATTCCTTTTTCCTCCACAAATTTCGACAAATAAAGGGATAGTATACCCAAAAATGAAATTACTTACCAAGGGTAAGTAATTTGTTTTGTTTGTTGTTCCAAACCAAACAATGTTCCAAGACCTTTGTTCATCTTCAGAACACAAATTAAGATATTTTCACTGAAATAATCGTTAAAATAGTCCATGTGACATCAGTGGTTTAACCTCTATTTCATCAGAAATATCTTAATTTGTGTTCTGAAGATGAACGAAGGTCTTGCGGGTTTGGAACAACATGTGGGTGAGTATTTAATGACAGAATTTTCATTTTTTTGGGTGAACTATCCCTTTAACCCTCTGGTATTCATCACTTAAGGGTCAAGTGTGATACTCTGCCATGTAAAAAAGACAGAAGACAATAAGTGTATTCATTATTTTTATTATCAAGAAATGATTGTATTTTGTTTCAATAATATGTATTCAATAATATTTCAGGGGATTTCATATACTATACAAAATTAATCTCTAAATTATGCACTATTTATTTCTATATAAAATTATACAAAAAATCATATCATTTTCAATTAATTTAGCGTTTAAATAAAAACAGAACAAAGGATGTAGATTGTACTCCCCCCAAAAAATGACTGTGTATTTTTTTATTTTCCGATTCATTTCTTATGGTGGTCATTTTTTGAGCAGAAAGATCACAGGTGTTTTTTTAAGACCATTTAGCCCAGGGGTGTCCAAACTCAGTCCTGGAGGGCCGGTGTCCTGCAGAGTTTAGCTCCAACCCTAATCAAACAAACCTGAAGCAGCTAATCAAGCTCTTACTAGGCATATAAACTTCCAGTCAGGTGTGTTGAGGCAAGTTGGAGCTAAACTCGGCAGGACACCGGCCCTCCAGGACCGAGTTTGGACAGCCCTGATTTAGCCTTTTCTAATCGTGTCGAAATGTTTGTGTTCATTTAGCAAGTACCACAAAAGTCACCAAGTTTCATACCATTCTGATGTAGTAAAAAATTCAAAATGTTAAATTTTTCGGTGCAATATCACAGAGGACAACTATTGTTAATTCAACAAAACTGCTTAGCGTACTGCCTCAATTTAAACTATATTTTGTCAATAACTTCAGTCTTCATAAACATTATACTTTAAGGATTATCCAAACTCAAGTTTGATCTGTATTTATTTAAATACCCCCTCAGAGCTTCTTCTTGAGGAATGTACAATGTTTCCTCTTTAGGAATGAAAAATGGTATCAGCACCACTGTCTTATATAGCAGCGATGACGGAGACGGCTGCTACATCCAGGTGTCCAAGAGGCCCAACTCAATGGAGATGTCAGTCCTCACCCCAACGGGCTCCGCAAAGGTGGACCGACCCCGCAGCAACACGTCTGAGGCTAAACTGATGGCCAAGAAGCGGGTGATCCGTATGCTTATTGTCATTGTGGCCATGTTCTTCATCTGCTGGATGCCTCTGTACTCCGTCAACACCTGGAAAGCGTTCGACCTTCCCTCGGCCCACAGGGCTCTTTCTGGAGCCCCCATCTCATTCATCCACCTGCTGTCCTACACGTCTGCCTGCATCAACCCAATCATCTACTGCTTTATGAACAAGCGCTTTCGAAAGGCGCTTCTTGCCACCTTCTCCTGCTGCTGCTGGCCCTGCCGCAGAAGAGGCTTCAGGGAAGGTGACGATGAGGTTACTGCCACCGGAGCATCCATCTCTAAGTTCAACTACACCACTGTCAGCACAATGGGACCATGCTGATTCTCAGAGGACAAGATGGAGAAGAATTGGGGTAGATGTTGGCATATTGTGAGGCTTTACTTTGGTAGAAGACTTAGATTGTTTATCACTTTCTTGCAGCAAAGCAAACCACATGCTACATCAACATCGGCCATTGTTTCATGATCCATGATTGTTCATGTTGTTATATATTCACTAGAGACTTGTATAAATGTATATACGTAAGGTGGCGTCGAACAGCTCGGTAGGAAAGGTCATACCAACCTCACCCTCTTCTGTCAAAGGTCTGTCACTCTCACTCAACAACAACAAAAAAGACACCAAACGACTGCCTGCAAAATTTATTTCTGACTGAACTGGTTTTGGTGTAGAAGAACCAGAAAAAAATGAATTTTTTACCATGAATAACAATCTGCATCTGAGGTAAAGTTTGTGGTGTAGAGTATGCTGAGGAAAAGTTTGGATCAGATGCAAGCAGAACAATGGCTCTTCGGGATGAGAAGAAGCTCATTGGTCGCCTTTATCGACTGAGCGGTAATGTTGAACTTGCTAGATTAGAGTCAGCAGGAAGCAGAGTTTCTAGAGCTTTTAGTGCTTACTGAGAGACTACAATTTCTGACTTGCTCAAACGACTATGTAAATGTATGAAAATGGCTAGTAGAATGCCAGTCTTACACTTTATGTTAAGTTATCTTTTGTTCAAGTTTTAAGTGCCTGCATAGTGTTTTTAAAATCCTTTCTGAGGTCAAGAAACATCGGGAGAGATTTCATTCATAAGATCAGAACTCTAAAACACTGACATATAGCAGCTTTCCAAAGTCTGAGCCATAAAATATTACAATGGGGTTAATGATTATGGTCTATTGCTAGACAGGACAATGATTTTGGCAGTTGACTTCATCTTCATTTTTTGGACTGAAGAGGTTTTGTTTTGTTTTTTGAAGTTGTCCTTTGTGGCCTTCACAGTCTGTGGTTATAGGTGACCTCAACTGAATGAAAACCTTAAACTAGGGTGACCATACGTGCCATTTTCCCAGGACGCGTCCTGGGAAAATGGCACGTATGGTCACCCTACCTTAAACCCCTTGATTGGGATGAACTCATGCCAATCTGTCATAATCTCACAGACTGATTAATGAATGCTTTCACATGCCCTCGTAAATTTATAGCTATAAGCGTATTAAGGTCCTTCCAGATAATCATCATCAAACAACAGCAACGAACACTTAAATCTGATTTGTGATTGTTCAGTCCTTCTTTTAGAAGATATATATTTTATTTATTTATTTAATTTTATTTTTTAGGAAGGTTAGAGAGGGAAGCTTGATTAAATGTCAGATATTTTTGAGTGCCATGGGACCCATGGGAAGTCAGACTTGATTCAGTGACTGTAAAATATTTCAAGCCACTAAAATTTAACATTTTAATAAATTGTCAATTTAATGGCTAATTTTAAGTAAAATTAAAGTGCTGCCAAAGTGACAACCTGGAGTGATGAGTTCAGGAACAATGATTTTAATTACTGATGAAAAAATCAAGCTGGAACTCTAAACAATTATGTAGGAAGTTATGACACTTTGAATGGATGTATACAAAGATTTTTTTTTTGTCATAATGATGGAAACATTTTACAGTGTATTTCCCCTACATTGAATTTTTATAACATTTATCGGGAAAAAAAACAATCATTTGCATGAACTCATTACTCATCAAGTAACTAATTTAAGATTTAAATTCAAACATTATAATTCCCAATTCCTCAAATGGTCACAAATGACTGTCCCATGGGGTATTGTTTTTCATGTCATGATGTTTTTTTAAGTTCCTTTGTAAAGAAAGAAAACCAAATAGTAGGTAACATTAATTAAACATTTAGTGTAAACTGGTCATAAAATAATTATTACATAAATAATTGATTTATTATGTTCCTTGAAGACTATGAAGACATTTTTTTTTTACCAAATTCACATTTCTGGTTTGGTGTTGATAATGGGATGCTTGAGCTTTACAGATAGGGCTTTGGGGATACATAATGCAAAAATGGATTGGAAACACTGATTTAAAAGCATAATCAGTTAAGCATAATCATAACCAAGCAGGAACCAGCATAAATGCTCCCCAAACTATCCATATTACTTACCTTTTTCTATATTTTGCCACCTATTCTTCTCTTCCCCAATAGTCTGTCACATTTTCCCTGATTTATATGTTCCATATTTTTTCCACTGGCTAAACATCACTTTATAATCAACGTGCATCTACTCCCTGAACTTACTTTGCAGTGAACAATGTCAACATTGCACTGATACCTTGTTATCCACACTCTTCCTCAGCCCTGATGACCGTCCATCACACAGCAGGCCTTAAAAGCTGCCAATTCCCCCATTAAATTTATGTTGCTTGGCCGTCCAAACTTTCCCCAATGTACCAGCCAGGGTTTTAATGGCATCGTTCCCCTGCGCAGCTCATGACTTGGATAATGGGTCGGTATTCAGGATCACACACAAAGATCAGTTTTATGGGATCACCCAGACAATGTTGTCGGATTCGCTCATTTTAAAACAGCATCCCATTAGTTCAGGTTGTTATTTTTGGATCGGAAAAGATGACGGTGCTCATAGTTGAAAATGATCAGTTGAGCTCTTCTTGATTGCGTGTTTTGAAAAAGGATCAAAATACTTTTATGAGCCAATCTTGCATTGTGTCACTCAGTCTTTAAAAGGTTTGTTCAGCAGATGTTTTTGCTTTAATGAGAAGAGAAATGAGGTCAGCAGATGCATTTAGTTCTGACCTTTCCAAGCCCATCATGACTCCTTTTTCATGAGACTAATATATAGAGATCCTCCTGTGAAGACGTTTGCGAAACAGATGTCTGACTTCCTCAGGTTTGGATCCAGATTGAGAAAACATTTGTTTCTTGTTAAAAACAACTGGCGTACTACAACTTGTAAAGCATCTACGTTTATAAATGAGTTCAAAAGTGAGAGAATTAGCACATGGCGAATTTGTGTTTGAATGCTTAGTGAACTGTGAATGCAACAGTAAAATGGATCATAGCCTGCTGTAGGCTGCACAGATGTCAATTGTGAAGGATTATATGGACCCTATTGCATATTCAGTGTTTAATAGCCCATGATAGTCCAACATGAGGTTTTTCTAGCACAAATACAGACTAGTTTCATTCAGGAGATGCTCTCACGAAGGAAACATCTGACATAAAGGTTTCGGATTAGTGGAACGTGGAATCAGTTAAACTCTAAACACTTAAATAAATACGGCAGAACAGACAGCAACAACATCTGCTAGGTAAATCCAGTAAAACAATAAGCATTTGCAGATCGACTATGCCTGTGAAAAGTTCATTTCAGAAATGAGCTGTTTCTCTATAATTAGTCAGACATCATAGCACCTGCCTCCGTTTGGAGGCGTTTCACTGTTGTAATGCTCTGAGCTTGGATGCTACGGCTGAAAATGGAAGGGCTGTTAAACTCTGATTTCCCCGAGGTGTGTTTGAGACGTCTGTGAGTGCTGAACACATTGCGTTGTTGTGGCCCACAGCTCTTTTCTGATTAATAGGATATAATCTGAAGCCTAAACTAACCACATGCTTCATGGTGTTTGACCAACAGTCAACTCAAGTGTTCTCATCAGATTACATACACAACCTCTCAGTAGCGTAGTCTTTTCTCGAAATGCTTCGCCTTGTCACGGACAAAGTTTGTAGACAGCGTGATGAAAATAAAAATGTTTATCAGCCTCATCAGTCAGTATGGCAAAAAACACTAAGGCAGACAACTTCACACAGACAGAAGACAGATTTTTGGCGTATTTGTCTAAAATCTGTTTAGTCAGTAGAGCTTTTGTAGTCAGAAAATACACATGGCATCTGATTTTTACAAACCCCATCCAAACGACATCCATATGTGGTTTTAAAATGTGAATTTCTTGGAATGCATTTCAGTCTGATTGGATTTCAAGTAATTTTTTTCTGCACTCTAAAAATGCTGGATGAAAAACAACCCAATTTGGGTCATTTTGGCAACTCAGCGCTGGGTCAAAAAGGAACAAATCTAGCGCTGGGTTGTTTTGACCCAACTGGGTTGGGTTAAATGTTTGACCCAACATATTAGGCTTTATTTAACTCAATTATTGTTTAAAAATTACTATACTGCTGGGTTCAGATGAACTCAATATTGGTTGGAAATTAAATGTACACACATAATCACTACAGTAACAATGCCAGCAACAGTAATAATCAAAAGGTGAACATTTATTAAGCAAAAACAATATAGACAAACATAAATCCGTACATGTGTATGAGGAAAAGTGTAGAAAAGAATGGAAACCCAATAATTATACAGCTTATACAGTTAAACAAAACTGCTTTTGAATCGTTTAATATTGAGTCTTTAAAAAAATTGACCAGTTATTTTATTCACATTTTTTCCTGCCAACGAATACACTACTAACAGTATGGCCAAACCATCAGGCTGAGTGCCGCCAAGAAACACAGACTGAAAGCCTGTAATAAACACTGAAAGTCGGGAATAAACTGTGTATTATAGTGAATTGACAGGATTGTACCCTCTGTGTTTAAAGCGATTTTTCCTCTCAAGTGCCATTCTGTTATCCAACCGTCTCAACTCAGCCTTTAGGTTGAAAAAGTAACCTAGCATTTTTTTAGAGTGTGATAAATCAATTGTAACATCATAAAAATGCATTATTGTCTCAAGATTTGTATGAATACTTTCTCTCATTATGTGTATACGCATGAATGTATAAAATGCCACTCATGTTCTTCAGGAGTTCATAATGAGAGCAAGATATTTTCTGGACTCTTACATGATTCCTAAAGCAACTTGTTTAGATACACAGGATATGAACTAAAATATCTGTACAAAGGGATCAAATTTCATCACTGACACAATGACAGTCAGTCTGAAAGACTGGATTTGAAAACAAATCAGATTTATGTGCAGAGTGCACAGGTCAAGCCTAAAGGTCCTTTTAAACCTTTTTTT